AAAGAACCTCCTCAGGAAAGCTCCTCCATCAGCATGTTCATAGCCTGGGGAACTCCTACGAGATAATGACTCAGCCCTACCCCACCTTCCGGAGTAGATATAAATTACCTGCCTACCGTTTTTCTTCTCACCTTGACACAGGGAGTACATCTTTCTGTGTTATACCTCTGAGGGTGCCAGTCACAGCTACTGGCGAAACGTCAGGTCCCACAATGCCAAGACCATGGCCACGCAACCTGGGAAATCTACAGCAGCTAATGAGCTCCGGCCGTGAAAGCCTCCGACAACATATTAAGCAGGGTTACTTGGATGGGAAACCACCAAAGAGATCTAGGGTTACTACGAAGAGGCAGGCAAGGGCAAACCACCACTGATCATCTTTACCGACCTGGTGCCAGGTTCAGACCCCCTTTGCAATCAATTATGATGACCGCACTGTCCTATGTTGCTAATGCTTCCTTTCGCTTTTGTAACCCTACCGCGGTGGCTCAAGTGGTTAAGACGCTGAACTGCAGGCTGTGGAAGGTCGGTAGTTCAGCAGTTTGAGACCTGAGTTGCTGCGTGACAGAGTGAGCTCCCGACTCTAGTTCCAGCTCCTGCCAACCTGGCAGTTCGAAAGCAAGAAATTGCAAGTAGATAAATAGGTACCGCTTCGGTGGGAAGGGAACAGCGTTCCGTGCGCCTTGGTGTTTAGTCATGCCACGTCTTCAGACAGCGCTGGCTCTTCGGCTTGGATGAGCACCGCAACCCTAGAGTCAGATTCGACTGGCTTTCGAGCAAGGGAACCTTTGCCTTTTACCTGCTTTGCACATCTGGCTTTGCTTGTTATCCTTATCGGTTCTCCTCTCCCTGACATTCCTAGGGGGGGAGAGAGTGAATGGGTGCATGGAGGTGCTCGTGATTCTCCTGAAGCAGCCCCCAGACCGTTCACAGGTTCCAGCCGGACCCGTGGCCTTGGAGGGGACAAGGCTTTAGACATGGCTAGTTGGGTCGCAGAGTTTCTCATGACCTGTAGCAATGCTTGGGTGTGTGTGATGTAGGCCTGGAGGGTGGGACCGATCCCCCAGTTACCGATCCCCGTGCTGTTGCTTGCCAGTTCTGACAGAGGTGTTCACCTTGACAGAAGTCCAAATCTTGGCCAATACACCCAAGGAATATTGTGTGAAGCGTGGTCCCTCCGGAGGGCGGACACCTGGATGGGCCCCGGGCTAGCCTGACCTTGTCAGATCTCGGAAGCTAGGCAGGGTCAGCCTGGGTTAATATTCGGATGGGAGACCACCGAAGGAAGTCCAGGGTGGCTGCCTACAATCAATGGCGGACTGTCTCTGTTGGACGGCTGTCTTGATCTGGAGGGCCCAGGCATCTCGGAAGCGAAGCGGAGCTGACCCTGGTGAGTGCTTGGATGGAAGACCACAGAGGAAGCCCAGGGTTGCTGTGCGGAGGCAGGCCACGGCAAAACCACCCTCCATCTGTCATTACCCTGACCTGGACGGCCCCAGCCTAGAGGCTAAGCAGGGGGTCAGGCCTGATTGGTACTTCGATGGGAAACCACCGGGGAAGTCCAGGGTTGCTGCACAGAGACAGGCGGTGGCGAGCCACTCCTGAGGGGAGCGGTGGCACAGTGGGGATATCCCACTGCTGTCTTAACATCCGAACTGTGCCAGTTCGAGCCCCGCCCTGGTGTGAGCTGGAGCCAGCCTGTCGTCCCCAGCTCATCGTCCACCCTGCGATTCGAAATCCTCGGCGAGTAGATAAGATGGGAACCACTCCTTAGAGAGGGTGGGCACAACCGACTCCCTTCTGGGAAGGTGTTAGCTCTCGGTTGGAGACGTCCTGGTCTGGACCCGGAAGGCGGAAGAATCTACTCAGCTAAGAAAATCCCTGCAGTGGGATGCTCCGGCCAGGCGGTGGCAGTGTGGCGATGCAGCTGTTGGAACATGACTGAGTCAAGCCAGAAACGTTTCCACCGGGCAACTTAAATGAATTATATGTTGTCTTCCCTATCCCCTAAGAAAAACATTGTTAGTCCCCTGTCTAAAGAGTAACTGTAAATCACTTTGAGCCCACTTGTGGGGAAAGCGATTAATAAATCGAAAGCATTATTATTATTAAAGCATTGAATGCCTTTTGCCTCGAAAACCCTACAAGGTTGCCGTAGGTGGCCTGCGACTCAACGCCAATTTCCAACACCACCAATATCACATAGGCATTGACCCTCCATATACAATGGCGAACTTATTAGCCACATTGTTGGCATTTTCTAGAATAAAAGGAGTAACTTCAACACTGTTTGCAAGGAAAGGCAGTAAGCCCCCCCCCCCCAAGGGAGGGTATAAAAGGTCCTTCACAGTCAACTAGATTTGAAATTTTATTGGATCATCTTGACACAAAATTTGTTACAGCAGCTTCCTGGTATGTGTGTGTTTTATTTCTCTCTCTCTCTCTCTCTCTCTCTCTCTCTCTCTCTCTCTCTCAGGGGGAATGTCCATAGCAAATAAGGATTTTTTTTTCTTTTTAAATAGAACACTTCATACAAGTTCTCAGAAAAAAAAAAGTTTCTAGAATCACCGCACAGGGTTCTGTAAGAGAACAGACTCAACATGCTAAAGTGACAGTTTTCATCCAGGAATATACATATATATATATATTTATGTATATATATATATATTTAATTCACTAATTCCGAGGAGCATTTAATTGGGGGGGGGACGATTTTCAAACAAGCACGAGCCGCCTCCTCCCCTGAAATGCAACCGATTCATCTGTAAGGCTGACCGAACACACCGAAAAGCAGCCGTGTACTGCAGGATGGGGAAAGAGACCCAGGTTCTTGTGATAAATCAAGTTCCATCAGAGAGTGTAAAAACAGAGCTGATCCCAGCGGACACACCACAGTTGATTCGTTTTCTTTTTTTGGGGGGGGGGGGAACTCCCCCGAGCCGCAGAGAAGTGTATTGAGGCACCAGGTGTCTTGAAGCAAAAGCACAAATCAAAGTCAGATGATGAAATCGATGCTTCCAAGTTTTTCCCTTTTCACCCCCATCCTCCTATATATCTAGGATTCTAATCCGGGGTGGGTGGGGGGGTGCGCCCTGTGCAATACTGACTTCTTAAACGTTAAGTGCTGACGTACTGGAGAATTCTACTTCATTTAGAGCTGCTCGCTACCCAGGCTTTCAAATAAATAACCGCTAAGGAGTCCCGACCTTGGGGGACAAAACAAAAGGTTTGTAGAAGAAAGGGAAGTGGGGAGAGAGAGAATAAAGTTTCCAGCCAAAGGTAAGAGTTTTCAAGTTTTCCCCCGAATGGGTCCACCTGGTTGTATCCTACGCCCTTCCGTCGTTCTCAACATCTGACCCCCCCTCTTGGGTTTGGAAATACGGAGGCACAGCGTCACTGACACACAGAAGACGGCACCGGCACACATTCACCCTTCTTGAGGGCCACCTTGGATTTTTGAAACACGGGGCCAGGAGAACGCGTTGCTAAGGAGGAGGCAGCTCGCTGGGACAGTCTCTGCCCAGTAGTGGTCAATCTCGACGCAGCAAGCCCGGGGGGTGGGGGTGGGGGACAGGACTGAGAGAAGAAAGGGAAAAAACAGAACCCGAAAGGAAAACGAGAAGCCTTTGGATCTCCAGTTCTCTTGTTTGCTACATTCTACTTTTTTTTGTTTGTTTTGTTTTCAGGAATGTGATTATTTCAAGTGGACATCACAGAGCACACCAGCAGAAGCCCCGCTGCGGGAAGCAGGGGGTGGAACGGAAGAGTCTGGTCCATCCCGGGGCCGCGAAGCTACAGGTGCTTTCCTCCAACGAGGGGGGACTCAGCTGGGTGCCGTGGAAATGAATTGCGGTCAATCCCCCCCCAATTCTTTCCCCTCCTGGGGACCGCAAGGGGGATCCGATCCGATGGGCCTCCACCGCAGCAGAAGGCGACTGAGGTGGCGGGCCAGTGTTTTTCACCACGAGGCCGCTGCTGTGCCAGGCGTGGCCCCGACGTGGCCCCCACGATGCCTTGCATAACTGGCCTGCCCATGCCAGGGAGGCATTGACGGCAGAGATCTCACCGGTCGCCTAGAAGGGGGCTAACACCACAAGTGGTCTAAGAGTCCGAAAGAGGGGGGAACCGGGGGGGGGGAGTAGGAATACAGTTGTAGGATGGGTAAACGGCAACAAAACAAACCGACAAAAAAAATTCCCAGAACACAACCCAGGGTGGAATGGAACTGAAGCACACACACACACGCACACGTGTCCTGGGCCCGGTACGTGCGCACAAAAGGAGAGATGAGGAGGGAGAAACCGAATGCTCAGCCACACACACGCCGTGAGCAGATCTCGTTGTGTGTGTGTGTGTGGGGGGGGGAGTGGAGGGCTGCACCAGTTTCCCCCGAGAGAACTCAGCACTTCGAAAGGGTCTCCTTGAGTTCCGACAGCAGGTTGCTCAGCAGGGTAGACTCATCGCATTTCCCATCGACGGACACGGAAGTCTCTCCCTTAAAGAGAACCACATAATTAGCAAATACAGGAAGAGGAGAAGATGACTGGATTTATACCCCGCCCTTCACTCGGGAGTCTCATAGTGGCTTATAATCAATGTTCCCTCTAAGCTGTGGAGTCTTGTGAGCAAAAATTCTACTTTGTGAGCTGCTGGCATTAAAGTTGTGAGCGATCTATTTGACTACTGGATAAATTAGTTTGCTCTGAAGCCATCCTTCCTGAGCTAAGACAAAAATGTGTGAGCCAGAGGCTAAAAAACTGTGAGCTAGCTCACACTAACTCAGCTTAGAGGGAACACTGCTTACAATCAGGGGTCATTTCGTAGAAAAAGAGCTGGGGGACTCATTAGCATAACTCATTAGCATATGCCACACCCCCTGACATCAGGGGCCCGGCGGTGGACCTGCAAGGCCAGCGGGAGTGCGAGGAAGCCCCGCCAAGGCCCTCCCTGGCCCCAGGCAGGCAGGGGTGGGGAGAGGCAGGGAGGAAGCAACTTACCCTCCCTCTTCTCCTGCCTCCTCCTGGCTGAATGAGGGCTGGAAGCGGGGCGGCCGGAAGCAGGGGGCGGGGCTTCATCATGTGCCCTGCCCCCTGCACCTCACCTGGGGGAACTGCGATCCCCCGCGTTCCCCCCCGAAATGACCTCTGCTTACAATCTCTTTTCCCTTCCCCTCCCCACAACAGACACCCCGCGAGGTAGGTGGGGCTGATAGAGCTCTCCCGAGCACTGCCCTTGAGAGAACAGCTCTGAGAGAACTGGTGACTGACCCAAGGTCACACCAGCAGCTGCACGTGGAGGAGGAGTGGGGAATCAAATCCGGTTCTCCCAGATTACAGTCTGTGCACTTAACCGTGACACCAAACAGGAGAGGGGTGTGTGTGCTGCGGAACATTTCCTGGTACTTCATTTTTCTGTGGAAAAGGTTCCATTTCTAAGATTTTGTTTTAGAAGTTTTACCACAATAAACAAAGGTCATGAACCAGTACAATTCTAGGGAAGCGCTGCAGTTTTGAAGTTCGGGTCCCAGCTGACATGAATGAGCAAGAGAGATCTACATAAGGGAGCTTCATGGGCGTTCCCTGCGTCATTGCTAGGCAGTTAGTGTGAGCTAGGTAAAGGTAAAGGTTCCCTTGCTCAAAAGCCAGTCGAGTCCGACTCTAGGGATGCGGTGCTCATCTCCGTTTCAAAGCCAAAGAGCCAGCGCTGTCCGAAGACGTTCCCGTGGTCATGTGGCCGGCATGACTAAACACCAAGGCCCATGGAACGCTAGCTCACAGTTTTTTAGCCTCCAGCTCATGCATTTTTGTCTCCGCTCAGGAAGGAGGGCTCCAGAGCAGACTAATGTATGCAGTAGCCAAATCGCTCACTCACAACTTTAATGCCAGGAGCTCACAAAGTAGAATTTTTGCTCACAAGACTCCACAGCTTAGAGGGAACATTGCCCCCCACCCCCTGTCAACCTGGAAGACGCCTGGAGCCCAAAAGCACAGTTCCTTGAGGCTCAGGACAAACATGCTCCAAGATAGCCACCCCGGAAAGCAGACCAGAAGACCTCTGCCATCTTCTCCCTCTTGGAATTTAACAAGGGGAAACAGGATCTCCCCTAACATGGTGACACCAGCCCCCAACACCCCCTGAATAAGTGGATTTCCTGGACACATCAGCTCCCCGCCCCGGTCTCACCTTTTTCACTAGCAGGCAGACATGATGGCCCTGGATTGAACGGCTGTACATGGACGCACAGGCTTCGACTCGCTCCACAACTGAAAGGAGAATCAGTGCGTTTGTGTGTGGGGGGGGAGGGAATGTTATAGCAGTTCCCCCCCAAGCTTTTGATCAGAATTTTTCTGAGGTCTGTTAAGAGACACTGCCCTCCCCCCCTAAAAAACCTTGGTTATACACCTTCCAAAGCGCTGCTCCTACATGACTCGCTTTTCCGAGGCCTGAGTCCCACTCCAACTGGGAACTGCCCTCCTCCTACTAAAAACCCACTGCTGATGCCTTCAGAAGGGAAGATGAAACCTGTGTCAGGATCCTTAGTCAGGTCACACCACACAGGGCTTCATAAGAAGTTAACTGTTTATTAGTGGTTCCAGTACTAAAGAACACGTGTACAGATTGTGTCAGGAATAGCCGACACTATAAGGGCCTCTGACTTATAGTAAACTCGAAAATCCCCCCATGGGTGCAAGCCAATAATTACAGTTCGTGGGCGGGCTAAAGCAAGCGGGCAAACTTTCCCAGCCTAGTTAATTGCAGCTGGAGACAGCAAGGTCAAGCATGAGAGAGCGCACAGAAGCAGGACAGGGAAGACCTGAGAACAAGGAAGAGGGCACCCCTCCACATTCCAGATCTATGACAGGGCTACTATGACAACCTACCAGGCCGGCCTCCTCCTTTGCACCTGGGTCCGGTCGGAAAATCTGCCCCCTCCCCCAAACCTGGAACATCTAGAACAGAATTCCCATGTCCGCTGTGGGTAGGGCTGCCAACCTCCAGGTGGTGCCTGGAGTTTTCCTGGGATTATAATTGACCCCCCCCCTCACACCCAGACTACAGGGACCAGCTCCCCTGGAGAAAATGGCAGCTTCAGAGGGGCAGGCTCCATGTTAGACCACAGATCCAAGGTGAAACTCCTCCATCCACAGGCTCTGCCTTCTAACCTCCAGAACCTCCCCAGCTGCAGGTGAAAGAACAGGACTGCCCAGCACCCTCTTAAGAACATAAGAGAAGCCAATGCTGGATCAGGCCAGTGGGCCATCCGGTCCAACACTCTGTCACACAGTGGCCAAAAATACCAGGCGCCCTCAGGAGGTCCAGCAGTGGGGCCAGGACACCAGAAACCCTCCCACTGTTGCCTCCCCCCCCCCGGAAGCACCAAGAATACAGAGCATCACTTGCCCCAGACCAAGAGTTCCTATCTATACCTTGTGGCTAAGAGCCACTGATGGACCTCTGCTCCAGATGTTTATCTAATTCCCTCTTGAAGCCGTCCATGCCTGTAGCTGCCGCCACCTCCTGTGGCAGTGAATTCCATGTGTTAATCACTCTTTGGGGTGAAGAAGTACTTCCTTTTATCCCTTCTAACCCAACTGCTCAGCAATTTCATGGAGTGCCCACGAGTTCTTGTATTGTGAGAAAGGGAGAAAAGTACTTCTTTCTCCACCTGCTCTATCCCATGCATAATCTTGTAAACCTCGACCATGTCACCCCCTCAGTCATCGTTTCGCCAAGCTAAAGAGCCCCAAGCGTTTTAACCTTTCTTTATGGGGAAAGTGTGTTCCAACCCTTTGATAATTCTAGTTGCCCTTTTCTGCACTTTTTTCTAGTGCTGTAATATCCTTCTTGAGGTGAGGTGACCAGAACTATGTACAGTACTCCAAATGAGGTCGCACCATTGATTTATACAGGGCCCAGCTCGATGACAGAGGAAGCCCAGAGGCAGCAGCACGGAGGCCACGGCTACGTATTCAGAGATGGAATCCCTCTGAACATGGCTGGTTCTGTTTAGTTATCGGGGCTACCAGCCAAGGATGGACCTCCTCTCACAGCCACTCACTTAGATGCTCTGAAGCTACCTCGGGGGGAACGGACTGCACCCATTCATCCCAAGGTGAAGCCGTATTCGCCTTTGCTAGCCCTGAATCGACCACTTGTCAACTCTGTTACACGCCCACGAATACAAGCTTTATGGGAATGGGACAAAAACTTCTAACTGCTTTCTCTACACCATGCAGGGTTTTTTAGACACCTCGTGTCCTCCTCCTGTTTGCTGTAGTCATTCTTTTTCTGAACCAGAAAGCCGCAGATCTTCAGCGTTTCCTCACACGGAAGACACACCAACCCCTCGACTGGCAAGAGGACCAGAGCGGTGTGTCATGCAAAGAGGCCGCAGGCAGCCTCCTCTGTGAGTCCACATGCGGCACACTCAGGTCTCGAACTGCTGAACTACTGACCTTCCACAGCCTGCAGTTCAGCGTCTTTACCACTTGAGCCACGCCCACGAATACAAGCTTTATGGGAACGGGACAAAAGACTTCTAACTGCTTTCTCTACACCGTGCAGGGTTTTTTGGACACCTCGTGTCCTCCTCCTGTTTGCTGTAGTCATTCTTTTTCTGAACCAGAAAGCCGCAGATCTTCAGCGTTTCCTCACACGGAAGACACACCAACCCCTCGACTGGCAAGAGGACCAGAGCGGTGTGTCATGCAAAGAGGCCACAGGCAGCCTCCTCTGTGAGTCCAAAACCTCCAGCCATAGGAAGGTTGAATTCTCATGGCCATATGGGCAACCCTTTTCCAGTTCAGTGATTACCAGATCTGGGGAGCGGGTTGGGGGGGGGGACGGGGACGGGACGACACCTGGTTCTCAGGCACTCACCTGAGAAGTGATGGTAGAAACATATTTTTGCCAATACGTGATGGAACGGGGCGGTGATGCCGTCCACTTTGATTGAGCTGCCGTGCAAATCGCCGGACTCCAGCAACTTGGCAAAAGCGTCACTGCACAGACAGAAAAGGGGTGTGGATGAGAAGTGGCCAAGGGGAAGCCTGGCTTCTACCTTGCAAGCAGCAACCCGTGGCCCCAGCACTTAGAAACATCTCAGGCAGCAGATGCTGGGAAACACCTCTTTCTACTGTGGGAATGGCTTCGGGTCCCAGCTGACATGAATGAGCAAGGAAGAGAGATTCTACATACGGGAGCTTCATGGGCGTTCCCTGTGTCATTGCTAGGTACCTTCTCAACTCTCCCAACGTTAATAAGGAAGGTAAAGGTAAATGTTTCCCTTGCTTGAAAGCCAGTCAAATCCGACTCTAGGGTTGCGGTGCTCGTCTCAGTTTCCAAGCCGAAGAGCCAGTGCTGTCCGAAGACGTTTCCGTGGTCGTGTGGCCAGCATGACTAGACGTTGAGGCGCACGGAACGCTGTTACCTTGCCACCGAAGCAGTACCTATTGATCTACTTGCAATTTCTTGCTTTCGAACTGCTAGGTTGGCAGTTGCTGGGACCAGAGACGGGAGCTCACTCTGTCATGCGGCACTCGGAGGTTCTGCAGACTGGAAAGTCGGTAGCTCAGCAGTTTGAGATCTGAGCGCCGCATGACGGAGTGGGCTCCCGTCTCTGGCCCCAGCTTCTGCCAACCTAGCAGTTCAAAAGCAAGAAATTGCAAATAGATAAATAGGTACCACTTCGGTGAGAAGGTAATAGCGTTCTGTGCGCCTCGGTGTTTAGTCATGCCAGCCACATGACCACAGAAACGTCTTCGGACAGCGCTGGCTCTTCGGCTTGGAAACGGAGATGAGCACTGCATCCCTAGAGTCAGATTCGACTGGCTTTCCTTTACTAAGGAAGGTAGACCTAACCAAATCAAGAATCACAACTGGGCATCTAAGGACAAGCCCTGCTGCTTCCAGAAACATCTCATAATTAGTCCAGGTTACCCAGCAGCTCCAGAAATAGGGTACTGCAAGCCCACGATTCCCTGTCTATGAAGGGAGTACAAGACCTGCCCTCCAGACCGCCACCAGCCACTTGTATCCCGCCTCCTGAATGAGGGACAGCGGCCAAAGCAGCTTACCTGTAACACGGCGTCGTGATCAGGTAAGAGGCGCAACTGAAGAGCAACTTGAAATCTAGCTTTTCGTGCGTCGAACCTTCATCATCCTGCAACGGGCAGAGAAAGGGGAGGAGAAGAAGAAGAGACTGGATTTATACCCCACCCTTCACTACCCGAAGGAGTCTCAGAGCAGCTTCCAATCTCCTTCCCTTCCCCAAAACAGACACCCTGTGAGATAGGTGGGGCTGAGAGAGCTCTTTCGAGGACTGCCCTTGAGAGAGCAGCTCTGAGAGAACTTGTGACTGACCCAAGGTCACACCAGCAGCTGCATGTGGGGGAGCGGGGAATCAAACCCGGTTCTCCCAGATTAGAGTCCGCTGCTCTTAAACAAACTGGCAGACAGTGTCACCGAGTGCTCTGTTCCAGCATCCCAACAGGACAGCTCACTTAGTACCTTCAAAATAACCTCTTGCTGCAAGACCACATGGGGACCAGGGGATGCTGGGGGGGGGGGACAGAGGAAAGCACACGCCTCT